TGCAAATATAAACATATACATAATGTTCAGAAAATGTATAAAATGTTTAAAACTGGTTTTAGTTGGAACACACCTCGTGAAAGTTGAAGGTGCCAATAGCATGTTAAACCTGAATCACGTTGGGACACAGAGAGAGCACAGGGAGAGTGTGTGCTATGCTTCTTGTGCAATAAATCCTAAAACTTCTTTATGCTAGTGTTTATCGGTTCTGTAAACTGAACAGAATCCCTGTCACTGAGTTCAGAATAAGATGGGTTCTTTAAATGACCGTCACTGTTCTGTTGTCTAAACACTTACATCTTCTTACATACAGACTACTGCAGAGTGGTGGGAGAGAAGCTGTGACAGCTGTGAGCTCTTATCAGGCACTGGAAAGACTCATTCACACACATTAAACATTATAAGAGAAAATGCTGTTTCATCTGTCAAGATGTAAAGAAACAACTCTCCTTAAGACACCTCAGTCAGATCAGCAGAGTGTTTGCTTTGCATACCAGTGTCTGTTCGTGCTGAAGTAGTTTGAGAATTCTAAAACTAGAATTATAACATAGTTCCTAATGAAAATCTTGTCATTATTCACACACCCTCGTGTTGTTCAGATCCCATTTTAATCGTTTCAAGTTAAATATAATGATTATTTTGTAAATTTCGAGAGTAGGTGGTGATTTATACGACCAAGCTCAAAAAAAGAAAATTTTTTTTTTCAACTTAAGCATCATAAAAGCAGTTAATTTATATTCCATATGTATGCTGTATTCCAAGTCCTCTAAAGACATACACTTTTGTAAAAGTTTGGGGTAACTACGTTTTTTTAAAGAAATTAATACTTTTATTCAGCAAAGATACATTCAATTGATAAAAAGTAAAAAAATATTTTTACATTGCTACTAAAAAAAAATATATAATTCAATTCAATGCTGTTCTTTTTTTAAACTTCACAATCATGACCCACAAAACGTTAAGCAGCACAACTGTTTTCAACATTGATAATAATAAATGTTTCTTGAGCATGAAATCAGCATATTATTATTATTTATAAAAAAGATAATATAATAATATTATATATTATTTCTAAAGGATTGTGAGACACTGATGTGTCTGCTGAAAAAAAGTTTTGCCATCACAAATACATTTTAAAATAGATTTTAATAGAAAAACTGCATTTTAAATGGCTAAAATATTTCACAATTAAAATTTTTTCCCTATTACTTTTTTTCGATCAAACACATGGAGCCTTGGTGAGAAAACAAAAATCTTACTGACTCAAAGCTTTTCAATAGCAGTGTATGATAGTGGAACAGGCCATGATTTAAGCCAGTATTCACTAAAAATCTCCCCCCTCAATCAGAACCCTTAAATGTTATTTGTGCTTGTATTCATTGTAAAAATGTGCACTTTTAGACAATGAGCTCTGACAGAAGGGATGTTTATCAGTGAACAATTAATTTTAGTCTGTTCCACACAAACTATCATATAGTTTCAGAAGACTTCGAAGTCTCAGAGCATGGAAGTACAAATCACTTTTCATATCATGAAAATCTGACTTTTCCAGGTTTTAAGTGCTATAATCAAGTCCTCAGTGCATCTACCAACCAAGGAAACGTGAAAAAGATTAACCCAGTAACTTTGTTTTGGGAAGCCTTTTTCTGCAAGTGTCTGAGAAAACGAGCGCGTCTGATTTCGCTCCCTTGGTGACGTGGCAAAGGGATCTCATTATAATATTACCACCCCTTAATCTGTAAGTTTATACTCAAGGCACCGTCATTTTGATTCTAATGCAATGGGTGAAAGTTTGAGCAAAACATACTAACTGTTCTGTCTTTGGCTGCACAGACGAGTACAGAACACTATTTAGAGTCCCAGCCTCAGAGGAGACAACAGAGCAGTGGATTTATTGATTTATTTAATGTATATTGCTGCTGCTACACAGATCTAAAATAAACATGCGATTTATTTCCCAGCTGTTTACCTTCATAGACATAACCAACTGTTTTTGTAACTCATGTGTGTTTTTAATGTAAACTTGTGTGTGAATGAGAACTTAGTTTAGTACTCACATGCTGTGACAGCCGCTTTCTGTACGTGTGCTTCACATGTGTGCTCTCAGAAAACCATATATCAGAAGTTTAAACTCATATGGTTTAAATCGCATGATTTCAGCGCGATAAACATGATAATCAGAACCAAAACAGATGTTTTTTAGCAGGTACGAGCTGTAATGGCTCAGCTCTATTCTGGAAGAGGAGGCGGGGAGCAGCAGCTAATTTGCATTTAAAGAGACAGGCCCAAAAAACAGCATGTTTCTGCTTCCACTCAAAATAGGCATTTTCAAAATTATATAATAAATGATCTGTGGGGTATTTTGAGCTGAAACGTCACAGACACGTTCTTTAACACCAGAGACTTATATTAGATATTGTAAAAAGGGGCATAATATGTCTCTTTTAAATAATACAGGGTTAAAACAATATGAGGGTGAGTAAATGACAACAAAATGTTATATCTAAGGTGAACTATCCCTTTAAGTTGGACTGGTCAGAAGCTACTGGGAGGGTTGAGTCTGAGGAACTGCAGGCTGGCAGTGCCATATAACCAACCTATTTAACTAACTGACTGTAGCTACAATGAGATTCTCATTTATAGTGGGAAAATAATTTGGAAGCCATATCTGCATAAGGCAACAGTGCGCCAAGCCTGTTGCCTCATGTGACAGCTGTTTTCTAGTCTTAATGCATTTAACATCCTACATTTCAACATTGTGCTGTATTAAGTCACTGTAATTTTGACAGCTGTGGCATCTTCTCAGGCTTAAAAGTTGATGGAATGGTAAAATAAAATGTAGACTATTTACTCAGTTTGCCAAGAAGAAACTGAGAACATCTCCCAGTCCCAGCATGAGAGGGAAAGCTCAACCCAGCTGTGCGTTTCGTGGGACATGGTCAGCAAGGGAGATATTGTCCATTTGTGACTCTCTGAGGACCATCACAGTCTGAGACTCTTTCACAAGATGTGTTTCATGACTATAATTATGTGCCCTAAAAATGTGCTTAATTCTAGTACAAACATACCAGCTCAGAGTCCAGCTACTTGCCATACCTGACTTTTTTCTTCTCTCTCTTTTTCATACATCACCTGAAATGACGACATCAGCAGAGCTAAGAATACACATAACAGTATGTAACATCACACCGAACCTACACTCCCCTTTTCTCTCACACTCATGATTTTTTTCTGTTGACCTGCAAGACTGTAACAGGGACGAGAAGGTGATGGTCTTTTTTGTTTGTTTTTGAACATTTATCTTGCCATATTTTGAAACAGCACACTGAATGAGTGACACATTCACTAATAAAATAGGTATTTTAACCAAAGGGAACTTAAGGGAAATCAACTGAACTGTGAAAGTAGAACAAAGTCTACAACTCAAGTCATACTGCTCACAGAGCTTCATACATTTACCAAGAAAGTTAGTCCATTTTCTCAGGTATATAGATACAAAAATAGATCAGCAAAATCTATGTGCCATTTACAGTACGTAACAATCACTGAGTGAATTTGACCATCGCTCAAGAAAGGAAAGAAACTTCACAGGTTGACCGCACAGAGATCTGGACACTTGTAAAGACAGAGCAAAAGCGCTGAGAAGCCTCCTTGCCATCACATACTCTAAACATCCTCACAGTTTCATCACTGGTCCACAACAGGGCATTCAGCCAGAACACTGGCATTCTGCATCTCTACTGTTGCAGTACTGAGTGTTAGGTCTCAGGTACTAAACTTGAACATTCAGGATTGTAAGATCACACAAATTCAATATAAAAGAGGGAACAGTCTGTTGTAAAAGTATGGCAAATACACACCCATATTATAAACTGTTAACTTAATGCAGCCTTCATTTCACCATGTTAGAAACTATTCAAAAATGGTTTCGTAATGGTCTTGTGATTCCGAACAGTCACGGATTTGACTCTAAAGTCAAAAGTAAGAGCTGATGATGCATGTGCTCAATGTTCTTCATCGGGAATGGTGTTTTAAATCCCATTTGTCATTGCATCGACAGAACATTACTGTCTGTTGGTGCAGACACTAATATAGTTGTTATGGTTATTGTTATAGTTATCATTCTTTGTGCCTTTTTTACAGTTGTGAAAACATTGTGGTCAATATTGTATAATTCAATTATCACCAATTTTGTATTGACATTATATTACGTTTTTTTAGAATTATTAGGTATTATTTAAGGGATTTCTTCTATAATGTATAGTTAAAATATAATAGATAAAAAAATTACTAAACTTGAACATTCAGGATTGTAAGATCACACAAATTCAATATAAAAGAGGGAACAGTCTGTTGTAAAAGTATGGCAAATACACACCCATATTATAAACTGTTAACTTAATGCAGCCTTCATTTCACCATGTTAGAAACTATTCAAAAATGGTTTCGTAATGGTCTTGTGATTCCGAACAGTCACGGATTTGACTCTAAAGTCAAAAGTAAGAGCTGATGATGCATGTGCTCAATGTTCTTCATCGGGAATGGTGTTTTAAATCCCATTTGTCATTGCATCGACAGAACATTACTGTCTGTTGGTGCAGACACTAATATAGTTGTTATGGTTATTGTTATAGTTATCATTCTTTGTGCCTTTTTTACAGTTGTGAAAACATTGTGGTCAATATTGTATAATTCAATTATCACCAATTTTGTATTGACATTATATTACGTTTTTTAGAATTATTAGGTATTATTTAAGGGATTTCTTCTATAATGTATAGTTAAAATATAATAGATAAAAAATTTATAAGGAAATGCTTTACAGAGTTTTCATGTACAGTAGATAAAGAGATTTATAATGCGTTTCATATTATGATTGTATATGTCAAACAAATAATTTATCTAGTTTCACATAATCATACTTTCATTATAAGGTATTATTATCTTAAAAGTGTTATAAATATATTATTATATATAATATTATTATATTTAGGTGTTTCTAGAAAAGTATAGGTAAAACAATCCTTATTGGCTGTTAATGTTATATTGAGAATGAATTATCTATTTGTTTTGTGGTGTGTTTCTGATTGTTAATTATTAAATTCAGAATGAGGGAAGTAAAATAGCTGACACATAACGCTGGATGACAGGCTGTATGTGGTGAAACCTGAATTGGCACTACATTTCAAAGTGGAATGAACTAAATCACATATTAGAACAAGATCTAGACAATCTGATCACATGTTGAGGAACCCAGCCATTCATATAGATACATCTGTCAGAGTTCCTATTAAAAAGCCTCAGAATGGCATCTAGTGAACCTGACAGTAATTGTACCCCTGTACTACTTTGTTAGGTCAGAGTAATGTAATCTTAGGACACCAGTTATAATCTGAGCCATGATATTTAACTCATCTCACCTCTGCAGATCTTTCATGTCTGGAACCTACTCATATATTTGTTGGTTTTTTCTCTCTTACTGTGCCTAAAACACCACAACCCCATTAGAACAATCTTAAGCAGAACAAAAACAGAAAAAATAAATATCTAAATAAACATAAAACTCTGTCTCATTAGTGTTTCCTCCATTAATGGTGTGGCATCTCTAACCCTGTTCTCACAATTTCCTCTAACCCATTTCCTATAAAGCATTGGGAAGGAGAGCAGATTACATCCCCAGAACTACTCGTGTTTCTCATAATGCACTGCAGTGAGGGCCAGCTCTATCATCTTGGGCCTGTTCGAGGGCTTGACCTGCTCTCTGTCCCCCACGCCATTACACACATCATTGCCATCACTTATTGATATTCTAGGACTCCAAAAGACTGTGCCATCGACACACCTGTTGTCCTTTCGATTCCTTCATCTGTGTCCAGTGTGTCAGCTCCTCCTCCCCAGAGCTGTTCAGCCCCAGAGAGATCCATCCAATCATCTCCTTCCGTTTCATGCTGCGCTTGTTGTAGACCGACAGGATGAGTGTGACGTCGGAGAGCTGGAACAGAGCGACTTGGAACACGAAGGTCTCCTTGTAGGTGGGGTTGGGTTGGCCTCGGCAAATGGACGTCTTACACTTTGACATCTCTTGACCCATTGAGTTCAGTAGAGTCAGCTTTACATAAGTGTCTGAAACAGGATGAAACAGGATGTCAGTCAGGCAACATTTCATACTATGACCAGTAGTCCTAAAACTTTTACGATCAAATCAGTCAAGACTAAATTTGATTTGACCATGAGAAATTTGAAATGACTTTCCTCAGCACTTGCTTACAATGATTTTCCCAATCAGTATTTTGATTTTTTTCTTTAAAATATATTTTTTAAATATACATTTTAATATTGTCTAATATTAAAAAAGAAAATACATAATAATATAATATAATTAATATAATATATAACAATATCATTTATTTTTACCCAATTGGGAAATTGTTTTATATGTTAATTTCACAGCGTTTTGTTAGATTTATTCTTAAAAACAAGAAAACTCAGTGTTAGTGACAAGATATAGAAAGTATAGTTTTATAAAATAACTATATCTTGTTTTAAGGCTGTTTAGACATTTCTTTTAACTGCAAAACAAGACAATAATTCAAATTTGAAAAATTAAAAATAAATAAATAAATAAATAAAATAAAAATAAAACAAAAGTTTTCAGCTGGGAAAAATTACAAAAAGATAATACTATTACAAAAACCGTAGGTTCGGAAGTTAAATTAAGTAACAGGATATAACATTTTCAACGCTACGGTTCCAGCCTGGCAACGCTTCAGTCTCTCAATTTATCTGAAAAGCAATTGATTATTCCATTCATTAATACAGGATGAAATTTATTGGTTGAAAATGGGCCATTCAGTTTCTTTTTTGCATTAACGCTCGGCACGAATCAATGCTCACTGATTAATAATTGAGTCCCGCATCACTCATCTGTCTTCTCCTTTCAGAACCTTTTGAACTGTGACTCTACAGATGCATTCAGAGCAGACTCTGCGGTAGCTCGAGGCCTTTCACCGGGTTTAATTTAGAATGCAGTTGAACTCCTCTGAGCATGCTTTCTGCTGCCCTGCCTGAATACACTACAATACAACAGACGTTAGTATTCTCTGTGTCTTTGTGTCAGGGCGACGGTTCTGTTCCACGAGTCATCGAGTGCGGGCTTCCTGTGGAGTCATCCTGCTGCGTTTTCAAGAAAATGTTTCACTCTCCTCTATTTTTCCAACTTATAGAAGAGCCGAGCTAAAGAAGCGCTGATTTCAGAGATGAGAACACAGACTCATACCTGGCACTGAGGAAATCATCTCCAGCTCCTCAAGCTGAATGTGAAAGGATTTCATTAACCGTTAAGGAGGGTTGATTAGACACTGTGATGCAGTTATTCAGGAATCTGAACACTTCCTTTCACAGCCACAGAAATCAACTTCTAGTAGTCTACAATATGTCACATTACCTAAAATCCTGGTCATCCTTTTTGCAACTTTTGTATCCTAAATATGACTAATACTATCAAATTATTATTATTTTAATATTATTATAAAATAGTAATAATACTATCAAATTATTATTATTTGATTATTATTATTATTAATAATAATAAAATATAATAATAAAGATTTATTAAATTAATCATAATAATAATAATAGAAAAAATAATCCAAATATAAAAGTGTTTTAAACATATTTAATTGATATCTTAAGTTAACAGTGAGATCCCCAAAAACATATTTTGTAAAAAAAAAAAAAAAAAAAAATTCCACTCTCCAAACACAGAAGAATCACATGGCAACAAGTCTACAAAGATTTCTACATCTTTCTGGCAACTACCAGTCACATGACAGGAAATATTCAAATGATCCAAGCAAATGATCTAGTAAATGTGTTTAAACAATCCAAACATTAAAGAAAAAGACACATGGTTAGGGGACACATGCAAACATCACTATAGAGGATAGAAAATAACAGCATACCATCCAACATAATGTCTAAAATAACAGCGTTTTAACCTTCTCCATGGATGAAGACCGAATGGATAACATATTTCACACGTTTTCTAAATCTTCCTCCTGTATTGAGTTTTACACTAATTTGCACTCAAATTTTCCAGAAGGTCAAACCTTCAGTATCCATGTAGAAGTGCTCGCCAGTCTAAAAACAAGGATCGATGATGAAGAGAGGACACATGAAAACAGAAAGATGGATGAACAGCGTCCGATGCTGATAAAGGTAGCTAGCCACAGAAAACTCACCTCGGATTATGTACACCTGCCCACCTATCAAGTGCTTTAGACAACAGAACAAACCATCTGACAACAGGAGAGGAGTGACAGCAAGAGCAGAGGGGATCGGCAGACATCAGGGAGAAAGAGAGAGAATATCAACAACAGCAGGAGAAAAAGAGCGGGTCAGAAGGTCTGAAGGTTCAATGACATCCCATTAGGTCAGCTGTAACGTGTTCATAAAGCACACTGCATCACTTCAGGTTAAGGGCCAATGCATAAGAAAAACATGCAGCCTTCATCACCATTTCATAACGCTATCTGAAACTACAAGGTGAATGTCGTTTAATGACATGATGGTATTTATGAGCAGTTATGAGTGCTTTCTGAAGGCTCTTATATTGTGCTCTTTGACTGAAGTGTGACGGAAGCTTTGGGAAGGTTTGTTTAAGGCAGCATTTATCAGAAGGGTGACAGAAAATTATGGAGAGAGAAAGAAAGAGGGAGCACCTTTGAGGTCAAAAGGTGAGAGATGACACTATTTGATCCTGCAAACCTTATATAAGATGATACAGGAAACACAAGACTGATCTGATGGTGAAGTGCTCTGGAATGGCAATCTAAAGTAATCATGTTAAACAGATTTTGGACTCACTGGGAGGTTTATTTGCTGCCAGGTTTTTAAAGTGGCTTCCTTTGATGACCTCTACAGAGAGACGTCCCGTAGTGGCATTGTACACAAGCCCCAGCAGGATCTCCGGAGCCGACCCCTGACCAGCAGATGGGAACGACGAGGCTGTCTCGCTGCACGATACGTCTGACATGCTTGCCTGAGAGTCACTGCCCTGGGACACACATAATCTTTGTTTAACACACACACACACACATATATATATACATATATATATACAGTATATATATATATATATATATATATATATATATATATATATATATATATAATTTATCTAAAACAATATCTATAAAAATATATATACATATATTTTTAAATATCTTTTTGTGCATTATGCTGATAATTGAAAAAAAAATTATTAAATTAGAAAGAAGCATTTTTAGTAGTTTACATCTTATGGACATAACATTTTATCACACTCACAGGTATGTTGCAGCAGGGGTCCAGTATGATGGGGACTGACATCTTGCCTTGCAGGTTGAGTTTGGTGAGGTAGAACACCTTCTCCCCAAGAGCCTTCTCCTTCTTCATCCTGCGGATGCTGTACAAGCGGAACCGGACGGCATAGTTCCCGATCATCTCCGACTCGATATGGCTGAAGTGAAATGTCTCTGTGAAGACAGGGCAGGGGCCACGCTGGATGATGGTTTTCGCCCTCTGTTTTTTGGTGGGCAGCAGCACCAGATGCACCTGCCAGGAGATGTTACCCACCCGTTTGAGAGAAGGAATGTCCGTCAGCGCTGTTATCGTGATGGACAGACACTGGTCAGACGAATCGTAGTTGAAGATGACGTCGAGAGTTCCATACTGAGCAAGAGGCTCAGGATCATAACCTTTGGGAAGCTGAGCCGCCGATCCACGTGCAGACAGATTCTACAGAGATGATTGATAGAAAAAATAATAGATTTAGAGGGAGTAACAGTTACCATCTGAGGCTTGAGGTAGTGCATGTCAAGTAGATGAATATGGTACCTGTGCAGGAGTTTACATTTATACGGGCTCTTATATGACCGCTTTAAATCTTAAAAACACATATTCGATGATGTATGAAAACATTTTCAATGATTGATGGCTACGACAAGATTTTTATTGCTGTCATTCATATAACAAAGTTAGACAGGGGATGTGGCTCAGTACGTTCACTGCTGCATCACACTGCTGTAAACATATAAATTATTACGGAGGTGTCTACAGCACATGCATATTAAATTATGAAGTCGTTAGTGCATGCATCTGTGTTTGTATGCATGTGATCTTATTCTTAAGGTAATGAAACCATTAAGTACCAAAGCTAATTACACATGACAACAATGCCCTAAAAACAGAGTTGAACTAAACTAAAAAAGACCAATCTAAATGAGCTTCTCACTATAAAACAGTTTGAATGTTTTTGAATAAATGTCTTTTTAAAGTGGGGTGTTGAGGGAATTTAGAATATGACTTAGACAAAAAGTATTAATATGTTTGATATTTTGTATGTAACAATGAATTTAGCCCAGATCACGGTGGAAGAGAATCACCATTTACATGTCTAAATTTGATCAGTCCAAATGCACAGATCATTTGCTTTAAACTGAAATTTCATTCACCATGTACTCACCCTTATATCTGTTGAAAAAAAAACGTATTAATGTGCTATGCTTTTAAATATTATTTTAAAATAAAAAATAAAATGTTTTTTAAATTATATATACAATATATATATATATATATAAAATATCTTAAAATATGTATTAAAATAACTTAATAAAATATTTCAAAATTCTATATATTATATAGAATTATTTTTTATTTCACACACACACACACACACATACATATATATAAATATAAATTTGTACGTACTTAAACTATATATTAATTATAAATTACATTTGGTCTTTGTTTTTTATTATTTTCATATATTATTAATATTTATAAATAATAATTTTTACAATAAAATTTGCATAAACATTTATTTAGACTATATTTATACTATAAAACAAATTTACGCAATAATCGTTTTTAGAATATTCTTTGGTCATGTCTAATCTCACCTAGGGTCACCAAGTGAGTTGAACTGCCACTGGAGCTGCCTTAAACAAAATAGGTCCATGAGACCCCTGGTGATGTGGAACTTTCATCTTTGCAGTAAGTGATTTGTGCATATACAGATTTCTTTGCTGAAACACACACCTCTGGGCTGAGTACAGCAGTGCTGTCGCTGGGAACATCTTCTTCATAGCCCTTGTTAAGGAAACTCTCTGTTTCCTGTGCTCCGCTGACCTCACTTGGAGATTTTCCATAGCTGTGTCTGGGGCTCTCACTCCCATGGGAAAGGTCACATTTGGCATCGCCCAGGTCCGAGGGTGTGCACGACATACGTGGTGACCCATCCTCATCCTGATAGGGTGGAGGCTGCAGCTCATCCAGTGGTGGAGTCCGTCTCATCCTCTGGATACAGTTTACTGATGAGGAGGAAAGTCAGAGGTCCATTTAGTGCCATTTAGGCCAGTGTTCTCAGGCAATATTTAAAAGCAAAAATGTGGGACAGGAAATGGCAAATATCATCTTAAATAATTTAGAAAGTGCATTAATTGGAGTAACTTTGAGTTCAGCTTTATGCAAACGGCAGAGTGAAGGATCGTGATCTCAGTAACTCAATGTCATTCATTCTCACATGAGACTGAACCTGCAGCCTTAGTGTTTTTATGAGACCAGATAGATATCTATTAGGCTTGTAATTTATGAAACAGCTTGTTATATGGCATTCAAAGCTCTCTAAAGAAAGCCTAAAACAAGAATGGTTATTTGAAACTCTCAGCTTAATTCAAGAAAGGTCAGACCCTGATTTTACACACAGTGTAATAAGACTATCCCTTACACCTGCATCTTCATAAATCATTCAGTTGTCCTCCAAGAGCTACACACTGCTGCGTACGTGTATGCATATGATTAAATTAAACAAATCAGTGTGTTTCATCATGTCAAATAAAGAAAATTAGAGGATATGCTGATGCTGCTAGTGGCTCTGTGAGAATCTGAAATTGAGATGAATGGCAAAAACGTGGCCTGATTTACCTGCATTCACCATACAAGTTAAACTGCTCTGTAAAGAGAATGAACCAATTGGCTGTTGCCATAGTAACATGCTGCTGGTCAGGACAGGAAGATTTAGCGATCTCATAAATACTGCGCATTCTCTCTCTCTCTCTCTCTCACACACACACAGACATGCTTCTGTTGGAGTGTGGCTGGGATAACTGGTTCTGACTATTAGGAAGAGACATTGCTGATGCTGTGAATTTTCAAGTGGGGGATTAGTTATTAATTAACTAATTATTAGCAAAATAATTGTAAACTAATAATAATAATAAAATAATAATGGCATTTGTTATTAGAATAACAATAATAATTATAATAATGCATTATTATTAGCAATGTTCATAATAATACAAAAATAATCAACTGTTTTTGCATTTTCACTTTTAAAATTATGTTGATAATACAATTTGTAATGGAAATTATTATTATTATTATTATTATTAATGCTTTAATGACAGCATGCATTTGAGCTGTTTGTGCAAATCCAAATGCTGATACATATTCTCCAGCATGATTTGAGAATAATCCAAAGAGAATCTTGTGCTTCAGTGGAAGCAAGAACATCTGGAGTTCACACGAACAATGTCACAAATTTACTTATGACCTAGAAATAGAGCAGAATCAGAAATATTACTTCTTCATTTTGCATCACAACATTTCTTTGTTTTTACACATTTCATAATCCTGAAACAGAGAAGCATCAAGATATGGCAGTACAAAAGATGGAAACATCGCTAAAATTCACTTTTAATGAGGAAGGAGGAAAGAAATATCACTATGATTAAGATGATGGAGGAGCATGTCCGCTTGCCTTCTGTGTCTCAATGCTGAAGGACGTCTTTGATCATAAACACTAGTATTTTCAACCTCAGGCTATGAACAAGAGCAAGAGAAATGTGTGCCCTATATCTCAATGATGTTTTGAGCAACTCTCATGTCAGACATTTCTCATGTTTCAATTTGATCTGAATGCCAGAATATATGCCATAACTATAATATTACGTATCATCAGGACTTCACTGAGCGATTAGTAACAAGACATTTACGGCTCAGTTAACTTGATTTTCCCAAGCAGCTTGCTATGAATGGGAAAGCTAATGCTTTAGCAAGGTTTTATAAGGCTCTTTGGTTCTAACAGCAAACACTCAGCTCATTTGTTATGCATGAGTGTGTAAGAATAAGTTTGTGTGCACAGTATACGTTTGTGTGTGTTTTTATATGTTTGTGAGCATTCAAGCAATATGTAAATGTGTGTTAGCTCCACATGTATTATACAGATGGCCTGAGGCTACAGCATCTTCCGCCTCCAGGAAAACAGCGCATGAGAAAAGCATGCAGCTCTATCTGTCTCTCTGTGCAGTAGTTCACAGAAACAGAGGGGGAAATCAAAGAGACATATCCACCAGCTTCCTGCTTTTTTCTTTCTGACAGCGCTTCCCTTTGACACATTTTCCTTCTTTCTCTTCATAGCCATCTGTAATCTCTCTACTGTGTTTACTCTACTCTAAGGTGACCAGATTTCTGAAATGAAAAGCGGGGACATTTCCTAGTTCAGTGATCAAAATATCATTGAAATCTCACTTGTGATTATCTACTAATTAAAAAACAGGGACAATATATTTGTGTATGTTTTCCATATATTAATATCCTAATTAATATATACAATGATGTTTGAGGATCAAACTAATCTTAGTTTATTAATTAGCCTACAATTCACCAGAAAGCACACTATGAAAAGTAAATAGTAACTACTGCAAAAAGTAAACAGATCAAAATAGGATTATAGCAAAATTATGACTTTACAAAAACATTAAAAATAAAACAATAAATATGAGAACATATGATAAATGAAACCGTATTTAACAAATATTTTTAAACATTTTCTGACAGTATTTAAAGGTGACATATCATGAAAATCTGACTTTTCCAGGTTTTAAGTGCTATAATCAGGTCCCCAGTGCATCTACCAACCAAGGAAACGTGAAAAAGATGAACCCAGTAACTTTGTTTTGGGAAGCTTTTTTCTGCAAGTGTCTGAGAAAACGAGCGCGTCTGACTTCGCTCCCTTGGTGACGTGGCAAAGTGATCTCATTATAATATTACCACCCCTTAATCTGTAGGTTTACACCCACAGCGCCTTTATTGTGTTTTCGCAAGTGACAACGGTGTACCAGCTCTAATATTATGGCGAAAGTTTGAGCAAAACTTACTAACTGTTCTGTCTTTGGCTGCACAGACGAGCACAGAACACTATTTAGAGTCCCAGCCTCAGAGGAGACAACAGAGCAGTGGATTTATTGATTTATTTACTGCTGCTGCCACACAGATCTAAAATAAACATGCGATTTATTTCCCAGCTGTTTACCTTCATAGACATAACCAACTGTTTTTGTAACTCATGTGTGTTTTTAATGTAAACTTGTGTGTGAATGAGAACTTAGTTTAGTACTCACATGCTGTGGCAGCCGCTTTCTGTACGTGTGCTTCACATGTGTGCTCTCAGAAAACCATATATCAGAAGTTTAAACTAATATGGTTTAAAACACATGATTTCATCGTGATAAACATGATAATCAGAACCAAAACAGATGTTTTTTAGCAGGTACGAGCTGTAATGGTTCAGCTCTATTCTGGAAGAGGATGCGGGGAGCAGCAGCTCATTTGCATTTAAAGAGACATGCCCGAAAAACAGCGTGTTTCTGCTTCCACTCAAAATAGCATTTTCAAAATGCTATAATAAATGATCTGTTGAGTATTTTGAGCTGAAACTTCACAGACACATTCTGAGAACACCAGAGACTGATATTACATATTGTAAAAAGGGGCATAATATGTCTCAGAGTCCTTTAACATTTTCACATTTTCAACTGTGAGTATAAAGTAGCCTAATCACAACTTTTTTCAATTATTTTTTCCAAGTTCTTTTATGTTTATGCTTTTGGAAATGGATCTTTACCAGTGGGGGTGCTATAGTTAGTATGTGACTACCTTGAAACCAGTAACACTGTCTCTTTTGATAATTTATGATAATAGCACTCTGCTCTCCTCAAAGTTAGTAATGGCACGGGACTAGTAATCAGTATAGCTTGCAGTGCCCTCTGCTGGTGAAAGTAATCATTGTTTTGAACGTGCTGTAAAACGGAGAGGCTGCTCACTGCAGAGCATATGGGTGGAGACAGACGTCCAGCAAGGAGGAGCGAATATAATTAGTGCCTAATGGGTGGAGCTACAATATCCAACCACACCCTAACCCTATCCCTCCACCCCATTAGACATCCAGATAGGAGGAGCTGGAAGTCATTTGACTCTGCAGTGAGTATCACTGGGTAAAACGGGGACATTTTTTTTTTTCCGGGGACAGTCCCGGTTTTTGGTGTCCTGCCCCCGGAAAACGGGGACGTCTGGTCGCCCTACTTTACTCTGAGTATCTTCAATGATTCCAGCAGACAACTGAAATAGGCAATTGGAAGTACAAAAAATAACCCTAATCATGTCCATTACAGATGATCATTTTACAGCCATTTATCTGTTGGATATAAAAGCAGAGACCACAATCTTCCTCTAAAACACAGAATAACACGATAATCTCCCTTTCCGCAAGGAGCAGAACAGAACCAAGAACTCTCTTACTCTGTTTTCTCATCTTTCTGTGTGAGTTAAACTAGTGTGTTGTGGAAGAAAGTGTGTTTGTGTATAAGAAAGTAAAAAAATAGTTTGTTCTTCCAAAACTGTCCTGATTCATTTGATATGTCATGATCTAAACCTTTGCTCTCTGTAAGAATAACTCCTGCCAGAGAAAGAGCAACCCACAGTTATTTTGATTGAAAACAGGTTTCATTCATATTTTTCTACTTTGTCTGTTACTGACAGTTCTTAAAAAAACTAAACAAAACAAATTCTGAGTCACGCCAAAAATCCCAGTGAAAAACAAACGTCCCTCAGCAGGAGAGTTGTAGTTGAGTAGCGCCATCTAGTGTAATGAAAAACAGTTTTATTTGGGTTCCATTTTATTTGCTTTGCCCATTCATTCCAGATGTCAAATTCAAAACATATACACTACCTTTCAAACGTTTAGGGTCAGTAAGATTTTTTTTAAATCAATACTTTTATTCAGCAAAGGCACATTACATTGATCAAAAGTGACATTAAAGACTGTTTTCAATATTGATAATAATCAAGAAAAGTATAGAAATAAAATCAAGAAATATTTCTTGAGCACCAAATCAGCATATTAGAATGTTTCTGAAGGATTGCGTGACACTGAAGACTGGAGTAATGCTGAAAATTCAGCTTTGCCATAGCATTTTAAAATATATTAAAACAGAAAACAGGTATTTTAAATTGTAATAATATTTCACAATATTTTTGTTTTACTATATTTTTGGTCAAATAAATGCAGCCTTGGTGAGCAAAAGAAACTTCTTTCAAAAGCATAAAAAAAAAAATCTTAAAGACCCAAAACATTTCAATGGTAGTGTATAAAAATTCAGCAACCCATTTTAGCACACAGAGTTTGCTATTCGACCATGGTATACTTGAAGCTAATTTGGATCACAACAAATGTGACCCCCCCCCCCATAATTTAATCACTATCCCATATAAATGTCACATGAGCTGTGAGAAAGCAGTTTTTTGAGTGAGGTGTAAATTTACCATCATCTGCTGAGGCCTCGCTGCTGTAACCATCATATTCAGCTGCTAAGGGGCAGTATTTCTGCCGTGTGTCCCAGCCATAGCCCTTCTGGTGGCGTGAGTTAGTCCCCGCTGAACCACCCCGGAGACCCTGTGATCGAGACACGGCCTCCTGGTACTGGCCAATCACCTCATCATCACTATCTGACGACGAGCAGTGATAGTCTGCATTCACATAACTCTTATCTGAGACAGACAACGAGGAAAGAAAGAGGGACAATTTAAGAACAATATGAATAAGCATTTGTACTTTGAGCACAAGAAGAAATCATTTGAGGCAGTCAAATGTTCACCTTTTGTCAACAACCCATTTAAACATTGTAACACTGGTCACCAAATAAAGGCAACAAAAGAAGAGAAAATGAAGAGAAAATCTGCAATAAAATAATAATATGACTTGATAAATATACTTTTGTAATAAAGACGACAGGAAATAGTGCAATAAAGATCTATATATAATGTATAACTTAAATTCCTAAATAAACTAGGGGAATTCAAGAGCATTGCCATACTGCAAACACTTGGGTTGTTTTGACCCAGCGGTTGGGTTCAAAACAACCCAACCGCTGGGTCAAAACAACCCAATAGCTGGGTTTGTCCCTTTTTAACCCAGCGCTGGGTTAAAAAGGGACAAACAGATTTTTAACACCTCTAATCTTCAGCACAAACACTAGAGGGCGATATAGTTTAACAATTAAAAACATTCTCACATAATAAGGATGGTAGCACGCAGGTAATTAATACAGTATGTCTTTTTTTTTTTTTTTTTTTACAAAAATGATCAATTAACATCTGTAGAAATTCAGTTTGAGAGGCCAAGAGAGGCCATGCATTAATAATTAATGCTGAAGAAGGAAAACCAAATCCCCTGTATTTTTTTACACCGAAAGAGGAATAAAAGAGAGACAAAAAAAGCATAAAACAAAGGGTTACACTTTACTTGAAGGGGTGTGCATAAGACTGACATGACACCTTCATAATCATGACATGACACCTACATAATTATGACATGACACATATCATGAATATGAAGGTTTTTTATGCATGTTTATGACAACTGTCATTAAGTGTCATTTGCTCAGTTATGTAATTTTTAGTGCAAAGCTGACATTGTTTGAGATGTCTTTGTTATGGGCTAGATGGTAGCACCCAGGTAATTAATACAGTATGTTTTTTTTTTTTTTTTTTTTTACAAAAATGATCAATTAACATCTGTAGAAATTCAGTTTGAGAGGCCAAGAGAGGCCATGCATTAATAATTAATGCTGAAGAAGGAAAACCAAATCCCCTGTATTTTTTTTACACCGAAAGAGGAATAAAAGAGAGACAAAAAAAGCATAAAACAAAGATATATATTAAGAGTCAGCAACTGTAGAGAGTTCAAGTCTTCCAATAGAGATAAAAGGGAGGGAAAGCAAAGCAGAATTTTGACCGCAGCAGAGATCATTCCCACTGGATGAAAAGATCAGACAGACCAGATCAGTTTCAAAGAGTCCAGGTGGATTTTAAAGACAGAAAAGATGGTGGCTCCCTTTTTTGAGACACAGTCATCCAGTGAAGTTAAGATAACTGGGGAAAAGTCAACAACCAGCCTCATCCTCTCACCTTCAGCACGTCTCTCACTATTACTAGATTTCTTCTCCCCATAACCATCTGCTGGGCTTCTAGATGTTTTTAGTTTAGTGGACCTAGTTCTTTCTTTAACACAGGATCCATTTTGTTGTAGTGCAGAAGGTGAATCGGCACCATTTTGCACTTTGAACATTTCTTTCAGAGTGTCAGGTGCCTGTGAGAGGTCGCTTTCTGTAGAGAAGGTCTTGGTGGAGAGCACTGAACCGGTGTTGCTGCCTGTAGTCTGAGGCTCAGGGTTCTTCTCTAGGTCAGATGCAGCCTGGGTCTGGATTTCAGTTCTACCCAGAAAAGGATATCTTCCCTGGGCCTGCCGTGCTGCAGCCTCCTTCTCTTCTGCCTCTTTCCTACGAATCCTCTTCAGCTCCTTAGCCTGAACTTTGTGGATGATGGTGTTGACATGCTCAGCGAGTTCTCCGCTCACCGTGAATGTGACATCACTCAGTGCATAAGCCAGGTCGTCAACCTTTTCTGACACCGATTCCAACATGGCGGACACAGAGGGGAGACTTTGCTGGAAGCTTTTAAAAAATGCCATGCTGCCATGAATGGCAGGTTTGATTGGTCAATTTATGATTGCTCCAAAATGTCCAACTTCCCAGGCCAGTATTAAATTTATCATCGATGGAATGCTAATTTCAAAATCCTCAATAAACAAGCTGGGCATTGGATCATGTAGACTGCTCAAAACCTACAGTTAAAAACTACTTCAAATGGAAAAAACATTTTAAACAAAAATGATCTGAGCACCTAAAAGAAAGAAAAAACAAAAAGGAAACAAATGATCTTTAAATAACACAATTTCCATATTCATAAAGCAACTCAATTACAGTACACAAAATATCCTAGGAGGTGAGATATCCCAGCATGCTCTGACTCAAACAACTGCTACACAGGTGAGGCGAGTCAGAGAGGTCAAATCTCCCATAATCATGACAGTAATTTATGCTTTTCTAAAATCAGCCACAAACCACACACACAGACTGAACCAGAAATGAGCCAAATTGCCTTTGAGCACAATCAGATGTGTGTATATTACGATGTATAATTGTAATTATGTATAATGATTGTAGTTTATGCAGCTGTAATGTATGCAGCAGATGGTTCAGGGAAATACTGGCACCAGGTTCAGAGTTTTCGTCCAGCAAATTTACTCTACTAGAGTCTGATAAATCTGGCAGCGAACATAAGGAGATGTTCCCCTGTGACAGAGGGCAAAGGAGTTCTGTTCATATTTTTTCAGGGAGTAAAGTTGAATACCCTTTATCATAATAGTGCTGAAGAGGGTGTCCTGCTTTTTGGCATAATTCTTAAATGACCTCTCTTCCACTTCGTGGCCAGCATCCCTACAGGACCTCAGAGCCGAGATGTGAAAAATATGAAATCTTAATATTTCACAATATTATCAAATAAATGCAGCCTTGGTGAGCATTAGAGACTTTTACAAACATTAAACAATCATACACATCCCAAACTTCTGAAAGGATCAGGAATATAAACAGTAAATGTTCATTGCAGGTAATATTCACATTCAGCATTGTTGTGCTCTGCTGTTCATGCAACCCTAACAAAACAAATATGCAATTTTTTACATTACAACTTGCCAGTTAATGAAGAACCACTGCACTATGCTACAACATTACAATTTCATGTTTAGTACACAGCCATGTTTATTGTGCTTTGTCATAGACTCGCCAAGTCAAATAAGTGCAAACATACTTATCCAGTAAATGTCATTCTGATTATGCCACTGATTCCGATGCTGGGCAGAGTTATGTAAAGCGCTGTGTGTGGGCAGCTCAGTGATGCCTGGATCCAGAACCTGTCTGTAGGATGTGTGTGTGCATGTGGGCATTAAGTGCCCCTGTCAACAGTATAAGTGTGTAGGTGTGATTGAGTGCTTCATGGTTTAAACAAAAGGTATATGAGTGGCTTTGGAAAATAAATCGCTGCATATTTCAGATGAAAAAAAAACCGTGACTTCTATTTATGAAATTGCGAATTACAGCAAATTGCGTGATTAAAGTACTAAGCCGCTGCAATGGAGCAGCTCTAATGCTATTAAATGAAAGATTATGTAGGCTACCATAGAGAGAGAGAGAAAAAAATGAACAGTGAAAGTAACAAAAACTTGTAAAATACATTTTAATGGGCATAATTAAGTGTGAAATTAACAGAAGGATAAACAGTCAAACCAAAAATTATTCAGAGACCAGATATAATTTTTGATATTTTTTTACTAGTGGGTGTAGGACATTATAGTTCATTTATGTAAAGTGAGGATAGCAAAATAAACTGTGATACATTATACCCAAAAATTCTTCATACAGTGGACTACCAGAAAAATTTATACAAATTTGGGACCAAAAATTATTCAGACCAAGTGTGGGAAAAAATTGAAGTGACAGCATGCCCAGGAGACTATATGCTGTCATTAAGGCTAAGGGTCACCCGACAAAGTATTGATAGTTGTGTAAATATTGACAGCTGTATGAATAATTTTTGATTTATTGTAATCCGTTACATACCTTTCTATCAAAGTTATCTGACATTATCAAGCTGAATTTGTTCTGACACAGTTTAACTCTGAGTTCTTGTCATATTTTATTACCATTTTCTAAACTTTAGTGAATAAACTGTGATAACGTGAGAAATGTTGAAGGTGTCTGAATAAATTTTGGTTTGATTGTATCTATTTGATCAATGAAGTTAACCAACTAACATTATACATACTATTTTGGTTTCTGTACCCAATATTTTAAAAATGTACAAATGCAATGAAAATATTGGTATCAGTACTCGGTATCAGCAAGTACCAAAAATAAAAGTATCGGTATCGGGCAAGTACTGGAAAAGTTTTTGTATCTCATTTTCTTTAATGCATTTTTTGTATAATTGTTTTATTTAATCTTATTAAGTGCTTTGAGATGCTACTTTTTAAAGGTGCTATAGAAAATTAAATAAAAAATATAGAAAAGTTTATTATTATTATAATTATTATTATTATTCTCACACAAATACATCGCTTAGCTTCATAAGGCTTTTATTAACCACCAGAGTAATTTTATGATGCATGGATGCATTTTTTGGGCTTCAAAATCTCGACCCCCATTCACTGCCATTATAAAGCTTGGAAGAGCCAGGACATTTTTTAATATAACTCTGATTGTATTCGTCTGAAAGAAGAAAGTTATACAGTATACACCTAGGATGGCTTGAGGGTGAGTAAATCGTGGGGCAATTTTCACTTTGGGTGAACTATCCCTTTAAGTGTCCAAATACAGGGGTCACTGTTTATTATAAACACACAATTGCAGAAAAACAGCCACAAACCTGCTGGCTCTGTGCTCTTTCTGTACTGGTCAAGGCTGGACAGCTGGTTGGCACTCTCAAGGGATAGTTTGTTATTGAGGTAAAGAAAGAGTACAATCACAAGAAAGATGAACACACCAATGCCAGACAGGAACCCCAGAGCCTCAGGAGACACTGTAGAGAGAAAAAGAGAGATTTATTTATTACTCCAATAAGGTACATTGAAAATGAGACGGAATGAGGCAGGTAGAAGAATTTCTGTGACTTTTTCATGACCTTGATTTTTCATTACCTGATTTTACTTAAGGTAACACTTTATTTTAAGGTGTCCTTGTTACACGTTACATGTACTTACTATTATAATAACAATACATTATGCATAATTACATGCAAGTAACCCTAAGCCAAACCCTAATCCTAACCATATAGTAAGTACATGTAGTTAATTAATATTACTCAGTACTTAAATGTATAATTACACTGTAACAAGGACACCTTAAAATAAAGTGTAACCTAACTTAATATCTGATTCAAACCAAATTTGGTTGCTGTTACTTTTTACTTTCCTTGAATTGTCCAGGTCTGGAGATTCAAATTTTAAAAAAATTGAAGTTTTCTGTGACAATGAGAACATATTAATCAACATATTAAAAATATTAATATTAATCAATCACAGATCAGTTTAAGCAGTACTTAAAAATAAACGTAAAGACATTAGTCTAGACATTACTGAGAGAAAGAGACCAGCCATGCAGAAACAGAGCAAGAAGAAATATTCACAGTGGGTGCAAAGGGTTTGACCTGACCACCTTCCTTCATTCATCAAAAACCACAGAGATGAAATAATGTAAATGCAAGACTATATCTGCTATGTGGCCACATATTTCAGGATGACAGAGGGAAATTACCCAATTCCAGTCGGTTGGTTTCCCACTTAGAGAATAAATAAACTTACCAGCAATGATTTCTGCACTGAACTGTATCACAGCTTTGTGCAAGTGTGAATTAGATTTGAAAGCTTCTCTCTCTCTCACACACACACACACACACACACACACACACACACACACACACACACACACACACACACACACACACACACACACACACAACACACACAAACTAACAAAGAGAGAGACACATAGACAC